ACGTGAAAACGTAAGGAAAATGTTAAAACAAAAATCCAAAAATAGTTGCTAATATCACCAAATTAGCCCCAAACTAAGAAACATATAGTTAGGACAGACAGATGTTTCAAAAAATGTAAAGATATAAATTAAAATAATCCACTGATTTTAAGAAGAGAGCTCTTAAATAATGCAAAAAAACAAACAAAAAAAAATAAAATAAAATGGATTAAATTAAAAACATAGATATTTGATATCAATGAGATGTCAATGGATTTAACAACACAAAAATATAAGACAAAATTAAACAAAAAATAGGTCCTTTCTTTACAGAAACACATTAAACCCTGTTTGTGTCCTCTTGACGCTGAAATAAGTATAAATCTTAAATAACAAAAAGATTAAGTGTTGTGACAATGTGACGTCTTGATTTAATAGTGGGGTCACTCACACGCATACTGCCACCTACTGTGCTGGATTGTGTATTCTCAGTGACTTTTGGAGATAACGCTCTTTACAATGCATTGCAAATTTTTTTTTTTTTTTAAATCAATGCCAATCATCGTTGGTTTGAATTTCTTTTTGATCGCTTTTGATAAAAAAAAATCTCCTTTTAAAAAAGTATTGTCTTATTTACCTTGCTAACTGTCAATGGATTTAACACCACAAAAATACGAGACAAAATTAAACAAAAAAAAAAATAGGTCCTTTCTTTACAGAAACACATTTAAACACAAATTTAAAAAATACACTGATTTTAAGAAGACAGCTCTTAAATAATGCAAATAAATAAATAAATAAATAAATGGAGTAAATAAAAACATAGATATTTATGTGACAAACATAGTTTTACTCCTAACAAAAACAATATGATAAAACAGATTTCATAGTCTTGAATAAGAAAAAAAAAAAAAATCAGGCCTCACCCCTACATTCAAAAGGGGTCAGGTTGTGTGTGTCTGGCCTAACAGACTGCCCCTGCTGTGTGCGGCGCCCCCTTTAGGCCTTTCAGAGAAGAGCGTAGAGAAGATTGTAGCTAAACAGACAGCTGTAGGCTGGTCGGCTGCTCTGTGTCCAATAACTCACTGCTTTGGACCAGAGCTGGAGATGGCCCTGAACACCGAGCAGGAGGAGAAGAGACTGCTGAGGGAGCAGGGGCGCCACCTGGAGGTAAGCTGCCAATAAAGCGTCACAATTTTTTAGTGTTGACTTCTTTTGTGTTCTAATATGCGGTCAGTATTGCCGTTCTTGATCATTAAATGCTGAATCAGCTTTTATTTTAAGTGTATTTCAAATCTTTATTTTTTAAAATGGTGACTTTATGTTGTAGTTCCATCCATCTATCCATCCATCCATCCATCCATCTATCCATCCATCCATCATCTATCTATCCATCCATC